TCTTCTTAGTTAAAGTCCACCATACAAGAGATCCCCTTGTAAGAATAGGACGTACTATAGCTGTGTACTTCTATTTAACTACGTTGGGCCTAAGTCCCCATTTCAATACCTAACATCTCACGACAGGTGTATTAGACGACAGGTGTATCGCAGTTCTTTAATCTCGGCAGGTTGAAGCTTGGAATCTTGGTCTTTTTGTGAATTGTACCAATTCTATGTTGCTTAAATTTAGTCCTAGGACACGGTCTGTAACAACAACAACTTGTATCCCTCTGTTATCCAGTTCAACGAATTAATAACAATGAGTCCGTGTCGAGATTACCATGTCTCTAGGTGCTATTGCTGAATCAACAGAGCTACCTTAGTAACGAGCTTTAAAAATTGTGGAATGCATTTGGAGTGAGCTATTAGAGATTGGGAATGCTAAGGCCAATGACAATGATAGCGTTGATTGCCACTCTTCTTCCTTCATGTTTAACACAAGAAAGTTATCTCCATTGATTTATGACTAACAATTGCCTCAACTTGTTGTAGTATTCCTTGGGATTATTCGAATACTTGAGCAAAGTACTGGATCATGATCCTGCATAATCATGTTAAAAAATTTACACCTAAGTAAGTCTAGCTAGTGACAAACCATGTGTTCATGCTAGGCAGCTTGGAATTAAAGACTTAAGGGGATAATATAAAATGTTTAAGAGATACTTTCCCGGGAACTCAATCAAATGATTGAATTTACTTCTTTGTTTTTTCGAAAGAAAGATTCGTCCACGTTCGTGCAATGTACCCGTTACCCCCGTTATTCGTCTTAAATTGTCATTGTTGTTCTCAAAAATCATTCTCCTGTATATTGAACAAAGTTGTTATAATTTCGACCTCCACTGTTAAAATAAATTTTAAAAATAACGATGTAATTAAATTTAGATCATAAATTTAAAATTTTTCTATATTAATTTTTAAATAAAAAAATTAAATTTTTTTTATCTAAACTCCAAAAATGTTTAATTAAAAATATTTAAAAAATTAAATACTTGTACCATTTGAACATTAAAATTGTTGTTCAATGTAATGTAAAAAACAAAACATCAGTTATGAGTTATTTATGATTAATAATAACATTTATTTTATATCATTGTTTGTTTTTCTGAAGTAGCCCATCAAAGATTAAACAAAAAAAAATTCATGGTCTTTAATCAACACCTCAATATCACACTAATTCACTTGAATTTAAATTAAACTTGTAAATAGATACAGAAAATGTATCTGTATGAATAAATCTAATGGTAGTAAATGCAAATCAATGTTAAAGAGATAAAACATTCCACATTTCCACTAACCCAACGTCTAAATGTCTCTGCATTAAAAACATATTAAACCGAAACATATTCCAATCTGCATCGTTTATAAATTTAAATTGCTATCGGATTCGGAATTACACCGTATTTAGTTAAGCCCAAAACAATATTATTAACCTAAAAAACCCAATTAATTAATACAAAAGAAGAAAAGAAATAAACAAAATACAAATATTAATATATCTCAGTAAAAATAGAAAAAATACAAGTTGTCGGCATAATGATAAAGTAACAAACGAATCACATTGCAATAAATTAAAATTCATAAAATATACATATTTTTTATTCAACAATTTCAATCATTCCGAGATTTGATAAAAATCCATCAACCGTTTAAAATAATAAATAAAAAAAAACAAAATACTACAATTTTGATAAATTTATTTTAGTTCAATAGTACAAACGGGTATTTTAATGCCTATGAAAATGAGAATATTTATTGTCGGTCAAGTTCGACTTGATTCATGCACTATTAATTTAAAATTAACCTTTGGCTAAAGATTTGGAATTTGATTACAGATGAACCTGTAATCAAATTGCATTGTATTAATTAAATATTTAAAAAAAGGCAAGAGCGATCGAATTACAATTCTGGTTTTACTTTTACTTTTCGTGAATAAATTTTAGATTAAAAAATGCCGATTTTATGCAAACTTGACTCAAAACTTAATTTTCATAATACTATCATATCTTAATCAAAAAAGTGTTTTGCCCTACTTCGCCCAATTTGAGCATGTACTATCCATGTTACCATATTTATTTAAATCCTAAAACGTTGACCCTTTATCTTTATGTTGATATCTGAAATTACAGTTATACCGGTAGCGAAATTATTCAAAACACCATTACCGCTAAAATACCGTTATCGAAGTTTATGACTCAATTTTAGAAAATACTGAAGAAGCATTAAACGAGCTCAAAAATCAAAATGTTTGATCTGAAGACATGGGATTAAACATTATAAAGTCTACTCGACTATTCCTTACTATTCAATCTATTCATTCCTCACCATTCAATCTATCAACAGACCTTGCATCCGACACTTTTATGAGACCATTTATCCGACATATTTATAAGGGATAAGTTGGTCTAGATACAGTTCTTGTGATATCAACTTATTATTATTATCAACATTGAGAGGGCAACACAACCGAAATATACCTTCCTTCGATTGGGAGCTCACTGACTTCTGTAGCGCCAAATAAGTTCCATCTCTGGTCAAACCACGAGTTATTTCTGATCGCCAGTTTCTAGTCCCGCCAAACCTCCCACCTCTGACTTATTCTGAATACAGTGCTTGTAATATCACGTTTCCCCAGCATTGAGAGGGCCACACAACCGAAATATCCCTTCCCTCGATTGGGAGCTCACTGATATCCATAGCGGCAAATAAGATGGGACTTCTGCTCAAACCACGTGTCATTTCATTTATTTCTGTTCTCCAGTTTGTAGCCCGGCAAACTAGAAACGGTACCTTTATACTCCAGATTTCAATTATTCCAAGACAGATGCGCTGTATTCACTCACGACTCCAGAACTTCGTACAAAAATCTGTAGTGTTGGTGTACCTGGTAAAGGCTCTTAAGGGCCCTTCACACGATCACACTTAACGTACGTAAAGTCTAATGAAAAAGTAAAAAAATGAGATTCCATCCGTATGAGATTTTGCTCTCTTTTATGTCATACGGATTTAGGTTTATATTTTTTGTGTTTACACGCTTAGTAAGATGGAACAGCTGTTACACCTCTTTTGTATGTGTTTACATAAAAATACATCCCTGATCTAATGCTTGTTTTTTAATCATTTTAAAAAATGAAGAGAGCCATACGACTGTCAAATTTTCCATCCGTATTTTTTCTCAGTGTGTGATGGTTTCATTACATATTGGATCGTCTAAATCATTCCATCCGTACTCTTTTACACAAAATTTTGACAGATCATATTACTTGTGTACTTGAGCAGTAATAAGAAATCACATCTAACAATCTTTTAGGATTTCGTTCAGACCCAATAGTGAGATGTGGTCATATGGCTTTAGACACATTGTAGTTCGCTCTAGTGTTTCATTATCAGACAGTAGTGTTTCGGAACCTTGCCAAATCTGACTAGATCATATTGTAATAGTCTGGTAAATGTCACATCCATTTTTATTATACATAGTTCTTAAAACAATCTGGGAACCGTATCGATAGATCCTAGTCTTTAGTTTTATCCATGCATCATGTCTAATGCGATTCATTTCGGCGTAATCTTTTCTATTATATTTTTAACTAGAATTGCTGGAAAACTGACTCCCATAATCATCATTGTCTTCTTTTCTCACTTAAAACAGAGGTTTAATACTTATATCAATTTCACGCCTGAAAATGTCAAAAAGATGATGGTTGAGGGAAAATCTTCAAGAGAAACTCATGTGAAGTCCACAGGTCTATACACCACTGGTATTACTGTGACCCCGACGTTCCAGATAAGTAAGCACTGCTATTAATATCGACAGGTTGAACCACCAGGCCTGATTAGACAAATGTACATTTCAATCAGAGTGAACTTGTCAGCACTAGATTGGTTTCAATCTTATCTATGTAGTCATCTAAACTCGAGGCAAAAATGAAAATAGTTTATTTGAATTTAAAATCGTTTTTAATGAATTGAAATTTTGAATGTAATAAGAGTCTGATAAATAACAAATATGACCATTTTAGGGTACATCCAATATAAATGACACTGTTCTACAAAATTGACAAATTTAACACAGTTTATTATCGAAAATATTTCCATTATTATAGAATTTATCATAAATCTTGCATTTGATAGATGTTTTAACGATATCTTTCCATAAATAAAGCACTTATCTATAATGTTACCAAAACTGAGATTTTATGACAAAAATTTGGGAAAATATTTCAATCGATTGCTCACCGAATGTTAGGGTGAGTGAATGTGTTCCGTTAGTTTCAACTTATCCATCTTTTGTGCGTTTCAGAATTGATGTACACCCGGAAGAAATATATCGCCCAAAGGCAAAGATTGCCAAAAAAAAGTATGTGAAGCAGCTCGTGCAACCAGACAACACCAAAGGCAAATATCCATGGCGCTAAGGTGCTACCAAAAGGGCCCTATCTATTATGAGCTGCAAAAATCTGGCATGATTATCACAAGGAACCTGTACCGATTGGAACTGATTCGTTTATAGCGAGCATTTGTCGAAAAGCTCCCATAATAATAGACCAGAAATTACATCGTAATATTACAATTTATCTATTCCTGGGTTAGCTAGTAAAAAGAGAAAAGAATTTTCGTTCTTCAACGAATATATTTTTCTGTAGGCTAGTGTATATATAACTGGTAATATCAGACAATAGAAAAACGAGTACATCATCTTTTGATGACAACCTTTTGTCGTTTGAGAACAATAAACGTGCATAAACTTGAACAACTTTAAAAACTAAGGAGAAAAAACTTAAAACAACTCCATAAAAAATGTTTAAACAAAAAAAAAAATTAATAAATAAATAAAAACATAAATAAAATTTATAATAAGAAAACAAAATTTATGTTAATCAATGGACTGAACAAGAAATGTCTATTTCATCGATATTTAGAAAAAAGCATAAAACATTTTAACAAAAACACTACAAGACGAAACAACATTCGAAAAACAACCAGCAGCCAAGCATCAAATCAAGAACCAGCATCAAACATTAGCATCCAACTTCATCGACATGATGGTTATCGATAGTTATCAAACGTTAGCTCGATATTTTTGAAAAAACATATTAAATAATTTAAACAATATTCAAAACATACAGCCTAATTTCAATAAAAAGCGTATTTCCTTAATACGTTTTAGGCAGTCTTGTTAATAAATTAGAACAATAAACATTTCAAAACAGATAAAACGAATTAATAATAAAAAGTCAAATAAAGATGATGTTCACATATGTGGTGAGTAATGTTATTGTTTACAAGTTAAGAACAAGCATACTAATTCATTCTATATAACGGAAATCATTTTTTTAAATTATAGTTTTACAAAGTGTGGATTATTTCCTTAATCGTCTTATTTGCTGTAAAGTGTAAAGCAGTTTCCGAAATGGAGGCTGAAATAACAAAATATCGTGTGGCTCCTACCGATGAGAATGGTGTCTTTAAATACGCCTACGCTACCAGTAATGGAATTGATGTACAAGCGGCCGGCAGTCCCATTGAATCTATTGGTATTTATAGTTACATCTCACCCGAAGGTGTGCCCATAGAGGTGCGTTATATTGCCGATGAATTAGGTTTTCATGCCGTCGGTCGTCATTTACCTCGTCCACCACCCATACCTGATTATATTTTACGTTCTTTGGAATACATAAAGAAACATGCGCCGCCACAGAAATTTTAAATCAATAATCTTCAAGAAGTGATTTGAGTTGAGTGTTTCACTGATAGTACAGTGAGTGTTAAAGTACAATTAACAAAGTATATGTGTGTATGTTTAGTTTTAAGTAGTTTTAGTTTTTTTAATTGTTTAAAAATATTGATTAAGTGTTCAGTATTTGTTTTGAAGAATAAAAAACAGTTTGCGAATTATTTATAAATTATGAAAAAAACGTCGATTTAAATTTTTAATTGCATTTTTAAAGTGAGAGAAAGCAATAAAGTCCCCCTATAGCTCAGGCTAAGGGACATATAGTGTCGTACAAAATTCTAAAAAATTTTTACGATTAGCTTTAATCTGAGATCAGCTAAGATCAGCGTTAACAAACTTTATTTCATTCGTCGAACTTCTACGCCATGGACCTCTGGGTTTACCTCTATACCAAGCTCCTTGCGGATTCCAGTTTAAAACTTGTCTGGTGATATTATTTGAAGATATCCCTAACGTATATCCAACACATTTCCTGCGGGCAATATCCTGTTGTTTGCACCTTCTATGTAGTTCGGAGTTAGAGATACATTTGTGGGTCCAATATATACACAGAATGCTCCTCAAACAGCGGTTTATAAAGGCTTGGATATCGTCCTTAGTGCCCCTGCCTGGTGTTATTTGTCTACCGAGGTAAGAAAACATATTTTTCAATAATCTTGTCGTCAAGGAGCAAATTACCAAAGTGCGGTGCGTTTATTTTCATTGAATTAATCTTACATTAATCCGCAGTTGGTACTTTTGAGAGATTGACCTTCAGCTGTTTAGTTTACTTTGCATATCATACGTTAGATCATTTATAGGGTGTCAAACGAGAGTTCTATGTGGATTCACATCGATACTTGAGCGTAGTAACTCAAGAGCGTATTAGTAGATCGACAACAGAGCTTCCCAAATTCCCTGATGATTTAATCGGTCAAAGACCTTTTCGAAATTAATGAATTCGTTGATCTCTTCCAAAATTATTCTTAAGTACGCAATGTGATCCACACATGAAGATTATGGTCTGAAACCTGCTTGTTGGGCACGAGGTGTGGCATCAATCTTGTCCCATATCCGATACAGTATAGTAAGGCACATTATGTTCAGACTAAAGTTGCACCCTTGCTAGGAATTTTAAACAGAGTTCCCTGCATTAATTTCATTGGGGAATTTTTAGTTTCCCATATGGCTGGAGAATTCGCGCACTTATGTGAGGATTAGCCTTGATCTTTTCAGGACGATGCCATCTGCACCTGCCTCTTTTACCAGGGTTTGCCTGTTAGCTGGGACATTGTTTATTAATTCGTTATATTTTGGGAATAACAGGAGTGACTACATAAGTATTATCGTACATACATATGTAGATAAAGAGGGCTAAATACATCTGTGTAATGATTGGTCCAACGTTCTAGTTGCTTTTTGAGATCAGTCAGGAATTTCCCGTTATTATCTTTGATAGGTAGAGCCATATTCCTTTTCCCATAGAGGAGTGATTTCTCGGCGATTGCTCTTTACGTTTGTCCTTTCTGCACATCCGTTTTACGCTGGTATCGAGGGTTCTTTATGTTTGTTGGACCCTTATTACATCACCACGGGTTTTGGCATTATTAATGGCATCCTTTACCCTTCTTCTCTTATCATCTTTTGGCCACGGTTTTTTCCCATTTAGTTTAGTGCGGTTTCGCTTTCAGAAATAAAATTTCTCTTAATATGGGACCACTGTAAGCTTAGGGAAGTGTTCTGAGAGGGGGACAAGGTTGTGTAAAATTCCTTTGCCTTTTGAGATTTATCATGGTGAAAATGGCGAAAACAAGAAGACCTGGGACTACTCACACGAATGACTCTTATTGTAAGCTCCGCAATCAGAATTAACCTGCGACCACTCGAAGTCTATTGAACCGTTATGAGAGAGTGACCATGTTCCAGATTCCAATGTTGAGTTGACCAACCTTGGAATCTGGAACACGGAAACCCTTGGAGTACAACTCTTATTCTAAGTTCCGCAATCAGAAGATAATGATCGGATGAAGTTCAATCAGTGGCTGCATATTTAATTTTATATAAATATTATGTATTAGTATTCCTACAGATTTTCATTCACTCAGGACTCTTGTGCCAAGGACTATTTTTTTTGTACTTTTTCGTTCGTTTCGTTTACTGATACTTTTTGAGGTTTTCTATTTTACTGTACATTTCATCATCTTCATCTTTCACTGTACATATCATCTTAATCATCTTATTATTAAATTCTATTATGGTAGTCATTCTATCAAAATAACAACAAAATGAATGACAATTTTCTACAACAATTGTCACAATTAAATGTTTTTTTTACGTTTTTTCTAGTTATTTTTATAGAAAATTACAAAAAAAAACTTGTAAACAACAACTTTGACATTTAAGTAGCTGTTGTAAAACATAAACAAGTAAAAGAACTTACTCACCATAATCGAGACAATTGGAACAACCCAACCCTGCTGCTGAGTAAATATGGTCACATTTCAAAAACTTGCATACTTGACAACTTCTCTATACTAAATTTTTCTATTAAAAAGTTTAATAGTTTTAATACTCTTGAATTTATAAGTTGTGTACATTTCACTCTCAGTATTAGTTTATTAAAATGTAATGCTATTTTATATTATTTTTATTTATTGAAGAAATCTACGTAGAAGAAGAATGTACATACATTAGGGTAGGTCAAGAATATCCTTCTTAAATAAGTAGGACCTCTTCCTAAGTTTTTAATTATATAACTTTGCATTAGGATCATTGCATTAGGAGAAGGGTTACCAGGGGGACACCACAGGGGGGAGTCTTATCTCTGTGGCTATTGCGGTATTCTAAGGCTATTTGAATCTAAAAGTAGGAAGATCGTTGCCTATGCGGATGGCGTGGTGCTACTGGTCAAGGAAAAATTTCTATCCACGATCAGTGACTTCATGGAGACTGCTCTAGGTGAACTCTCGTTATGAGCGAAGGATAAGGGACTGGGCGTAAATCCTGGGAAACGGAACTGGTACTATATACCAGAAGGTACAAGGTAGACAACTTCGGGTTGTCAAAGTTGGATGGTGTCGAATTAGGTTTATCTAGAGGAGCTAAGTATTTAGGGACTTTCCTTGATGGCAAGCTGTCATGCAAGGAAAATACTCAGGAAAGAATGAATAAGGGACTCAATGTCTACTACACATGCAAGAATTCTGTATTGAAGAATTGGGGTCTGCAAACAGATATGGTAAATTGGATTTACACATCTAATTTATGGTTGCATTGTCTGGTGGGAGGCATTGAGAAAGGACAGTTATAGAAAAATGATCAATAGAGCTCAAAGGTGTGCCATTATTGGCATTACTGGTGCCATTAGAAGCACTCGACAAGCGGTCTTGAACATCGTTCTATACCTGTCACCCATAGAACATTTTGTGGCGGGCGTGGCGGCTAGGAATCTGCTAAGACTCTATGAGTCTTCGTTAGACAAACCTCCGCGTGACAACCACACAAAAATTCTACACGAAGTAGGTCTACTTGATCAGGGTAATTCCCCTCGCAGAATAACGGATTATGATATTACGACTCTAGACTTCGGGGAAACACCTCTGATAGAGTTTTCAACTAGAGTTTTCACTGACGGGTCCAAGATGGATACCGCCACGGGTGCCGGTGTCTATATTGCAGAGAACCTAGCGATCTGGAAAGCGACGAAACTGATACGGAATCATATCGATCCGGAGTCAGTTATGACAATTTATGTTGATAGTCAAGCTGTTCTTAAAGCATTAGGTTCGAACCCTGATATAAATGACATAGAAAAGATGGTAAAACCACCCATTTGTCACTTTTATAGGCTGATATTCGAAAGAATCCGTGACATTATAAACCAGTTCTGGATTAGTAGATTGTATTGCAGAGTATCAAAGACCTTATGGCCAAAACTTGATATGGGGCTACCAAAATACTTATAGGACTGAATAGACGCAGTCTTAGAATTCTGATAGGGATGCTAACGGGACACTACTCAGTTAGAGCCTTTGTCATTAAGTGGGACAGCAGTATAACGGACTATTGTAGGTTATACGAGAATGAGGAGGAAATAGAGTCGATCGAGCATATAATTTGCTACTGCCCTAGGATACAGAATCTCAGGCTGAAATGGCTAGGTAATAGATTCCTTGACGAAATGGAAGATATTGCGGATCTTGACCCTCGCAGTTTACTAGGTTTTGACAAGGGCGTTAATCATTTCTTCTACTGAGCTTTATAGGGGGACAAAGTTTTTCTCTCACATCTCTTTATTCTCTAGGGTACTGACTTGTGTTTTTGATCTTCTGTTTTTGCATCATCATTGTTTGATTGGAATCACAATGGACCTTATGGTCTTCGAGTGGATTTGCAACCCTTCTTAACCTATCCTACTGAACATTTCACCAAAATCGGTAATGGATAATACATTGCCTTTGTGTGGCAATGAACAATTATTAGTGTGAAACTAGTTCAATGAACTAACTGCAAGGTTCTAATAAAGTATTCAACCTGATTATTCACTAATGTAGATATTGCTCTGATTATTAATTTAAATAGATTCTCTCTTTATTGTATCTAACTGAATTTAGATTAAAACATTATAACACTTTGAATTTAACGAATTTATGGTGTGTTTATTTTAAACATTTATTATTTTTTTTATTAACCACCATAAATGTCATTGGAAATGGCAATGCAATGAAATAAATTAAAAAAATATTCATCAGCAATACCAAAGTATATTATGTATTAATTTTTGGTTAGACCACTAAAGTCTGGATGGTAGAAGAGAGTCGCATCAACAAAATTTAGTCACAATAAATCAATCCTGTTTTTTGTTTAATTCCAATCTCTTTTAAACCAAAAAAGAGTTATTTCTAACGGTACCTGTTTTGGTATTTATGATAAACTCTTTGAAAATCTTTAGCAATACAAACTCTTATACTTCAACAAGAGAGCATTAAGTTTCTTAAACATTTCTGAACTGATTTACTCCTGTTTGAATGGATGACTACTGGTATTGGAGCAAAACAGGCAGATAAATTTGCAGTGTTATATCATAACATGTGTTTTGCAATGAAATACGAGTATCTTTTGATAAATTTTGAGATACTAATACTGGACAACTAACAAAAAAAACCCGAAATTTATTCAAATTTCAACTCAAATTTATTTCAAATACCTGCAGTTGTCTTTAATATTTTGCTACGAAAAGAACAGTCTTTCGAAAAAACGCATCGCATTGTTCGTTTCGCATTTAGAAATATTCTTCTGCCAAGTGTTCTAAAAAAAATTCTTTTAAATTTGTCACAAACGAAAAAAGTGAAATAAAATATTTTAAATTATTACTTAACATTATGTTTTTAACACAAATACCAAAACAATATTCCAAGGTTGGTGGTGGTCAATTCAAATACAAATCTGGTTTTAGAATAAAACTTAGAAAAGAATTACTCAATAGAAAATTCAAATAATCTAAAATATCTATCAAAGAAAACTAATCAATAAAATAAATCAGTTAAGAACAAAAAGAAACTGCACACGCCCAGTATTATTGATTATAAAATAGCTGTGAACATTTTTAAAATCAAACGTGTTTAATAAAATTTCCAAAATTTCAATTCTAGATCTCTTTAATCTCTGTGATCTTCATTATTGTTTGCATCATCACCCACACCTTAGCCATAACCAGACCTCTGGATCGTAATGCTTATACGATTTATTACAACAATAAACCCGCAGATAAGGCGGGTCACTTTAAGTTCGAATTTCAGACATCGAATGGTATAACAACAAAAGCGGCGGGAAATGAGCATGGCTTTAGTGGTGTTGTCCAATATGTTTCTTTAGAGGGTTTACCCATTACCATGACATATGTGGCCGATAGTGATGGTTATCATCCGGATGGTGAACATATACCAAAAATACCAAATCATATAACGAAATCTATAGAATATATACGTACGCATCCCGCCGTCGATGAGAAGAAATCACGTAAAATGTAAGTTAGTTTTAAGGATTAAGGAAATCATTAAGATATTAACTCTAAAGTTGTGGTGAAGTATATGTACATTCTTAATTAACAATATATTTGTAAGAATATATTAAACAGCTAATTAATCACAAACAGATCAGAATTTTCCCTCAATCTGATCCCATTTCTAGACCTTGTTTATTTGTAATTGCAATGTATTCTCTTGTACAATTTAGTTAGTCAAATATTTTTAAGTTTATGTATGTCTGTGTTCAAGTTCTTTAATTATACTTAATTTAATCACCTTTAGTATATTTAAATTTTATTACAATTTATTTTAATTTAGATATAATAATAAAATAACAATAAACAAAATACAAAAAAGATTTATAGCATCAATTACAAATTGTTTATTTCACTCCAAAAGAAATTAAATTTAAATGCTAATTTTAAAACATATTTCTTGCAAACAAACCAACATTTGAAAGTTGTATTTTAACTTTATATTAAAAACTTGGGAAGTTTTTAAAAATAATAATAAAAACAAAATAATTATGAAAAATAGTATTTAATATTTGTTCATGTAATTAAACCGCTACAAATGCACAATTAAATTATTAAAAACAAGTTGCTGCCAAAGTTCAAAAAAGTTATGTGCTGAAATATAATTAGAAATTTTCCGAACTGCAATTGTAAATGGTGTAGAAATTTAGGTTAAGTTGATAGGATGATGTATACTACACCAAATCCGAAGAAATACGCCTAGACCACTAACGAGCCTCTTGTGCGCTTCTTTTCATGGAAAATGTTTGTATTGTCCTATGTTCAGAAACTCAGTTCCTGGACGTAATTCCTAAGAATTTTCGAATAAGTGTTCGTGAGGGATGTTACACCCGGAATAATATCACTCCCAAGATATTTTAATTTAATTTCGACGAAAGCCTGACAACGGCAAACAAAATGCATCAGAGTTTCACTGTCCTTCCTATATGCTCTACATTCGTCTGAATCTGAAAATTCCAGTCGGAATACTTACCATAATAATAACCTGACTTGTTCATCTTGAGGAGGCTTCTTGTAGTTCTACGCACCGTTTCATTATTCCAAGAGGTCCTATGGGAATCTCTCGCGTGTTCATCAGGTAAACAAACTCGAGCTCACTTCTCTTTAATGCTATTCGCTATTTCGTTTCCGACTACTTCAAGTGGTCTGGTACGCAAATGATGTAAACCATACATCTGGGAGCGCATTCTCTCTATCGCCATATCAACTCTAATCCAATTTACGCTTTCCGTTATTGCTTACACTTCTGCCTGAAAGCTAGTTTTGTAATTAGCTAAACCTAAATATAGAACCCCAGGTCCGCTTTCTTCCGCAATTTAGAGCAATCGGTGTAACAACGGATTCTTACGAGTATTTGCTCTAAGGTTGCGCCTGACCATGCATTATATATTGGGATCAGTGTTTTAAAGTTCCCGACATATTCTGAGTTTGGTATTCCAATAATGTCACCAGTATACATTGATTACGAGTCCTATAACCGCTTTTGGTCAATTCCCCTAGAGTTCTGAGCCGTTGGGCTGTAAATGCCGTATGATATCTTATATATGCTACAATGGGTGGAATATATAGCAACGTTTCCAGAGTCTTGGTACATGTACACTGAACCACATACCTGTAATAGTTTGATATTACACTTTCTGTAGAACGAAGCCCACCGAATTACTAAGGCATAAATTAGAATTGGTCTAATTACATTTTTATAAAGACAATGTGTTATATGACTATATAGTACTATGGTGACTCCTTTTTAATTTCCGGTCAAGGATTTTACGCAAGTAATTTGGATCCTTTCCCCTTAGAAGTATTACAACATCGTCTGCATAGCAGACATGTCTAAGGTCCTTAGGTGACTATTAATCGTAGTTACCCAGAGTAAAGGGGACAAAATCCGCGAAATACCCTTTTTCTGATAGTTATATCGTACATCTGTTCCTTAGCTTGCATTTAATCCATTTACGGAGCACCCGCTCATCATAAAACTGGTCTAAGGATTGGATAAGAAAATCAGTGTGTGAAGGCGCCTTCGTCGCCAAAACATACCGCCAGTGTATACGGATTTACCTATATAGTGAACAATTTCATTATATTTGAGGTCTTTGTGTGGTATACTGCTTTTAACAATGGTATCGACTAACCGTTCCAAAGTTTAAGTAGAAAGGACAATAAGACTTATCGGTCGGTATGACTTTGGTGTCGCATAACTAGGTTTTCCGGGTTTGGGTATAAATATTACCTTCGCATGCAGTTAAAATCTTTGAAAGATGAACTGAAATTAGTCCCGCCTCCTTCTTAAAAAGTACCGGTAAAATACCAAATACGGTCCAGCAGCTTTATAGGGTGCAAAACTCTTGATTGCCTCCTTGACCATGCCAGTTGTAATAACTATCACTTTTTGAAGCATAATAACTTTTAATTTAAAATTTTTCGAATTTATTTTGTATATAATATTAAATCGATATGAAGGTAAGTACTCCTTTGGCTCTTTCTTCCTAGTCTAAGGTATCAAAATTCCTATAAATGTTCGCCAACGATGGTAAACAACTCCTCTAAAATAATTAAAACTTGATTTTTTATCTATGTATGTATATAAGAATGAATGTGTGATTGTATGTTTGTTTGGTCTTTATAGCCAGCTAAATGCCTGTACCGAACTATAGACTACTTTTTACTTCAAAATATCAAGCGAGCGAGGTGCTACGCCACAAAAATGGGCGAACTATCTATAAGGAGGTCATGGTACCTCCCGAGCTAAAATTTTGCACGAACAACTTTGACATCCATGTGAACATTTGGGTAATAAATTGGCGGACTAGATTTTAGGGGCGTGGTACCTCCCATATAAATTAAATGAAAAAAACTAATGGAGCTACGAAGAACTTTTTCATCCTTTTGAACATTTGTGAGGAAAATGGACTTATATTAGGAAGGCTTGGCAACTCCCATATGTATTAAGAACAAAAATTCATGTATCTGGGAAACTATTAGAGCTATAATTCCCAATTTTGCACGAAGAACTCTGTCCTCCATGTGAACATTTGGTAAATAATAGGGGCTCCTGCCATATGAATTAAATATAAAAAAATCGTATATCAGGGAAACTGTTAGAACTAGAATCTTTTAAAATCGCAGTGTTTTTTATTTATATTGATTTAAGGGTAGCAAAGCACACTGGGCATAGCTAGTTATATATAAACGATTGTTGTCAATACTGTGATTAAATAAAATTTATGATTCCATAATGCCAGTATTTAATTATATAACAAAACAAGTAAGATAGTATGGTCGGGCGTGGCCGACCATATGATACCCTACACCAGTTATGAATATTAAATGTGATCTATTTTTCATAATAAAGCATTTATCTGGAATATTAACTTGATTCCGATTTATTTAAGCAATTTATTGACGAAAAACTAATTTTCTGAAAGAGGCTTTATATGGGGGATTGGAGCAAATGTGAACCGATCCCGATAAAATGGGCTGGATAGATTTATATTTATATAATATTTGTCTGTGATAAATTTCATTGCAATAACAGTGTTAATAAGTGAATTGCGGATATTCAAGTCATTTTTCGAAGGGGGGTTTGTATGGGGGCTAGGGTCAAATGAAGTCCGATCTTTTCGAAATTCGGCAAGGTCATCAAGGCTTGTATAAAACTTAGTTGTGCGAACTTTTATCGAGATACATTTATATTATACAGAATTATGAGCTCAAAAGCCCTTTTCGGGGGGTTCAGTTGTATGGGGGCTAGGTGAAATAATGGACCGATTTTAACCATTTTCAATAGGCTTCGTCCTTGGGTCAAAAGAAACGTGTATGCCAAATTTAACGGACGGACGGACATCGTTAAATCAACTCAGAAAGTGATTCTGAGTCGATCGGTATACTTAAAGGTGGGTATAGTACTAATATTTTAGTGTGTTACAAACATCAGCACAAACGCATAATACCCTTCCCACTATAGTGGTGTAGGGTATAATTAAATCCAGTTTCAATAAAACCTATAATATACTTTAAATTCTTTGGCAATCCAGTAAGGTTTAAGCAATGTGACGAATGAATTTAAAAAAGATAAATTATTATAAATTTTGAAAGTTAATGCAATGATTGCAATTTTTAAAATTTTCCATAGTATACAAGTATTCTTGGAAACTGCAAAGTTAGAAACCCGAATCATTTCATGAGGAACTTTTAATGTGAATTTTAAAGAAATGGAAACTGAAAGAGCACACATTCACGTGACTAGAAATTAGGTATCAGTGACAGATAACTGAAATAATCAAACTAAAATTATTTAATTTACTTTTAAGTTTACATGTATCCTGGTATACATAACGATCGGGAGATACTTTAATAACTTTAATCTTAATATCCGGAATACCATCAGTAAACTTTCGATTTGCAAATGCAATACTTTTTTGTTCACTCTTTTCATCGATCACTAACGACGAATGTCAGATGACTAACCAACCAGCCTCATTTCAAATAATCCGGAAAATCCCACAAAGTTCTTACGAAAATGAGAAAAGTTACAAGCGCCAAGACTTTTTAACTCTCGCGATGTGCAATCTCAAATAAAAATTAAAACTTATAATACAAACCACGAATTAATTCAATTTCATTATAAAAAATAAATAAAAATACATAATATTAAAAAATCTCTCCGCAAAATTGTGGTCTACGTACAAGTTGTCTAATACTACTTGTCGTATTTATAAAAACGAAATCCCAAATTTACTTCATCTAATCTTATCAAACAAGTCTATGACATCTCTAAGTCGTTCTTCTAATGCACACACACACACACTGATATTTTGCTTATATTTGATTATTTAAATTGGAGTTAAAATTGCAAATGAATTACTATTAATAATACGAATAGGTACTTGGCAAACATTTAAATTTTAATCCCTCAACTACAGTCAAACAAATTTTGAAATTGTTGTTTAACGTTTGATATTTGAATGCAGTATTTATTGTATCAAGTGTGTCATCTGTTTGGATGGAATATTTAAATTTTAAATAAAATTAGAACACACGCCTCTTCAAATATTTTAAATCTTGTTTGATGTTTATTATTTTGAAATTTGTATGTAATCAATATTGAAATTATAAAGAATAAATACATTTTTAAATACGGAAGATGTATAAAAGTTTATGATTAAAAATTTGATATTCATAACTGAGAGAGATTCATTTAATCCAAATACTTTTTTGGCAAATGCATGATGCGTGTTGTACAAAGAAATACATAAAACATACATAATTTTAAAATTGAAAATTATTTGAATTATAAATTGCGTGTGAAAAAATATGTGCATATTTTTAGGCTTAATACTGATAGTTTCTTTATTCATACATATGATGATATCAACGGTTCCCAAAAGTGTTTTCACGGAC